TCATCAATTTGTCCTCCCTTAAAACTGCTGAGAATTTCTCGAGTTTTAAATAGAAAACTCCTTCGAGCGTGACAAAAAATCGTCTATTTATGAAACTTCTAGTTTAAGGATTTGATATTTTTATCCTGTAAAAAAGAGATATAAAAAATATGCGAGAGTAACATTAAAATTCGTACCTGAATGTCAAAAATACAACTAACAAAGCGATTCGTTGCGTAAGAAACGTCTCTCAACACGAAGATCACAATGTGTAGAATGTTTATAATAGAACATCTGGAAGATATTTTGAATTAAGATAAGTTTGATTGATATTGCTTTCTAAGCAAGAAAAATAATGGAATCGTTTTCTTAAAAGATGTCGTCGAATTAATTATTTATCGTAACGGGCCATATTAAATGGAAAATAAGATGTAAACGGATGGGATTTTTTTCATCTTGTATAAACTTAAACAGAGTAACGATTGTTGCTTTTAATTAAATCGATATTATTTTTTCATCGTCGGCCATGAAGAAGGGTTTTCCTCGATACACTTTATCATTCCCGTCCCTTTCCTGTATCTTGTCACTTAACATCCTGACAAGCTTCAAAATTTTCGACGTTTAGCGTCTAGAAACAGTTTATTAATTAAGCGAATTTTGAAAAGCGGGCGAATATAAACATCACATTAAGCTAGAGTTAATTAGAGCACGTTTTACAAAGGCGAGGTCAGTTTCCTAAACCACAGCACCTAGATAACTCTAGCTGTTTCCTGGGGGATCTCATTTAACAAATACAATAGATATCAACACGGCTGGCACGTTGCAGAGCCAAAGACTTCTACAATGCCAACTTCTTTCCACCTGCCGACGTAAAATGTGGCTTTCTCTCCCTCCTTTTTTTCTAACTTCTCTCTCTCTCTCACTCCCTACAATAAATAATTGTGTGCATCGTTCCCTATACCTCTCTCGCTCTCTCTTCATTTAAATCACAGCTGACAAGCATTAAAGGAATGCAAACAGGTATTTATGCAAATGAACGGGTTGGGTGGGGAGAGAAAGCGATGTTTTCCACTAAATTGTTCGTGCAAAATATTAACACTACTTGACATTTTCATAGAACATTAGCGGGTCTGATGTTTTTCCATAGATTTCGTTAAACGTAATCGGAAAGAGTCGACGATAAAAGTACTTTGCATGACTACGGACGTTAAGTGAATGTTAATGAGAGCATTGGACTGTCAAGAAATCAACTTAAGCGTTACAATATCTTCGTTCTTTTAAGATTAGACGAGAGAGCCGGTGCCATTCGTTTAAGTTGAGAAGGTCACTCACCTTTCTCTTTTAAGTGCGGACTACTCTCCGGTCGAGTATGGCCACATAACCCAAACATTCTGCTAATGTAAATAACGGTATCCATCACCCAGCATTGGATGAATGGTACTGTTGCTATATTTAAATCGTTAGCTATAGAGTATTTAATGCAGCGAACATTCCCGTTTGACGTATAAAGCTTGTAACGTTGTTTAACTTCCTTCAAACAACTCACTGTTTGAAACGAGTCGTTCTGGACAGTAATCTCTGTTTATTAGGCGAAGAGATGTTGGTCGCTTTCAAAGCCAGATACAGGGATTTACATTCGTGCATCGAGATTTACATTAAGAATAAATTTTGTGCCAGTCGTGTAAATATTCTTTAAAATACCATCCACTTGTATGTGACACTTTGCCTTGTCCTGTCAGCACTACATGCAAGCCTGCTCTTCTGTTAATATGTCGAAACGCTAACCATTAAGCTACTAAATTCTAGAATATCCCGGCAATAAATAAAATAAACGTGGCCCATACCCGAACATTTTAACTCAACTCTTGCATTCTCCCAATGACCAAACATTTAGAAATAAAAACTAATTGCAGCAATTTAATCGTGACCTAACCATTTCGGTAAACGTTTTTGCTATTAAAAACGAGCAAAAAACAAAAGAAAACTTTTATAGAGATTGTACAAATGACAAAAGTTTAACTACTAAGAAAAATTATAAAAATTCTCTTACAAAAATATGGTTTTTGAGACAAGAGATTCCTAAACGGCAATAAAAATGATGTAGGAATTAAATATTAACCCCCCTGCGAAAACGGATATCATTTACAGTAGTTTGAACAGAGAAATTTAACAACAAAATCGAAAAATCCTTTCGAGAGGAAAATTTAGGCAATTTCACATTTCCAAGTCATAAATTCGACCATTCTAATTGATTTTCTACAGCATAAACAGGGGATAACTAGCCCATATGCCAGCTCTAACTAGTAGATAACACCCAGTTTTTCTTTTCTCTTTCTCTTTCCCTTTTAAAACTAAACACTCGACACTAAAATTATTATTAAACAAGATTTTTAATGCCGATAAACTTCTTCAGAAATCAAATTAAAAGAACTAATTTCCTAGTATTACGCAACGAACTCCTGAATAAACAACTCAAACGATATTTTGCTATTACGAAACTTAGATGCGCCTTCATATTTTACTACATTGATCCAAAAATAATTTTTTCTTTTATACAATAAATCCCGGCATAAGAGACTCACAAAAGTTTTTTTTTTTATCTCAAGAAACTTTATTACATCTGGACAAGTTCTCCCGTACGCACCGGATGTTGCTTTTTTTTCCTGGAGCAGCATTCTGCAGCAAAGTAACAATTACGGTCTGAGTTGTCAGGGAAACTAGATTCTATCAAACATAAACTAGAAATTATAACAATTTCTGAAGGATTATTAACGGATAAAATGTCTACAGATAACTTTTTTTTATTCTCTATTCTAATTTATAAAGGCCCAAAAAGGTAGTGCAAAAATGTAACTCCCTTACGCCAACTTTTACCTTTCCTACCCTCCTTATGGTAAATGTTTATCGTTTTGTAACAGTTTATGCTAAAGTTTATTATTTTCTAATCTCTTTATGCCAACTCATACCATTTTATGACCTTCTCATTACAACTTAAACCATTTCCTAACTTTCTCACACCATATTCTAATCTTCTTCACGTCAACTTACACAGTTTTCTAACCACTTTATGTCTTATTTTCTATTTTATAATCTATATTAAACCGAATTTTTATCATTTTTCAATCCTCTCAAAACAAGAAATATTTTTACAAACCTCGGTTTTCTGTAAAAATCCTTAAAACGACTTTCAACATTAAATCAATCACTATTTTAAAAACGACGATAAACGAACTTCTTATAAACAAGATAATGAGGTCACAGGCCAAACTATTAAGGTCAACAACAGTAAGGACCGACAATGACTCATATTTGTGTCTAAATAAAGCACATCTCACGGGGTTGTTCGCAGCACCGTGATCCAAACATTTAAAAATTCATCTATTACAACGACACGTATTCTATATTAAAGTGTGAATAACTACCAATTACTCATCTGCGGTTTTACATTTCTTATATATTTTTCCCCCTTTCTTTGACTATGTTTTTCAATAGGTGTGGGCGCGAAACAAGATATATTATCATAATAATAAACTACGTAAAAAGTGACGCGACCGAAAACTATGCATTACATGTAAATACGAGAAAGTTTTTTATAATATTTTTACATATATATAAAGTACTTTTAAGTATTAATTCAGTAGTTAAGTGATAATAAATGATCATTGGCGCCATAAAAAATAATAAATGATTCATTTTGTGTGTGATTCATATTGTCTAATTTACGTCACACAGATACAGGAAACAATTTTTTTCCTACACACCATTTAATTAAAACTACTTTCTTTTTTTCTTTAATTTAAAACCAATCAATATAAAACTATTCTTTTAAATTAAGAAAATGTGTATGTATGTATGTAAGCTATATATAGAGGGAGAAGAGAGTTATTTTCTTTAAAATTTTTTAATATAAAAATGATAAAATTTTTGTAATTTTCTAGAATTTCAATTTTTGGAAACAATTTTTAACATCATCAAATCGAAACTGGTTCGAGTATTCTAAAAAAAGAAGGAAAAAAAAAGGAGGAAAATACACACTCCACCTGACGTCGCCTAAAAATAAGGGGGAAAAAAAGAAGAAAAGTTTCCGCCAAAAGATAACTATATATGGTTCGAAGAGATATATATATATATATATATATATAATAGAAGTGGAAGGTTAGCCCGGGGTCATAAGGGGCAGTACACAAAATATTCAAACACGTATACATACGTGTACACCAACACACACACACAGACACACACACCCAAGTTAACATCAACAGCACACACATCCTGCTCTAACAACATACATCTGGATCCAATAATTGACGCGATACTCGACATTGAGCATAATACTATTATCACAATGAATGAACGAAAACAAATTTCCTGGTATTTGCAAGGAGACTTGGCTAGTTTCCAGAAAGCATCCTTCCTTTGAACAATGGCGCACACACTCTCACTCACCTGCATTCATACCAGAGATGACGTTTCTTTCATTTTACCTGGACCCCTCGATACTAATCAAACGCATTTCTATATCTCTCTACCAAACCCCCGTAACCTGATAGTACATTTTTCGATGACGTAAAGCTCATCCCTACAGAAAAAAAAAAAAAAGCCAATCTCCTTAGTGAAGGGTGTATATAAAATATGTTCAATGTTTCTGGTAAGCATTTTATAGAATGCCGCAGCTGTGTTTATATTAAAGTAGTAAACCGAGAGGTGGTTTGTATGGAGTCTAAACTGACCGGAAATGGTCGAGATAGTAAAGACGTTAATGTATGTAAAAAGCCATCTATTTTGAGGGACGATGCGTAATTAGTGTGTATATTTGTGCGTGTAGAAGACAGGTATGTGGAAGCGCAATGGACAAAAATCGTGTTTAGGTAAACGTGATTTTTCTCCATCGATTCGCGGAGAGGTCATCCGTATACAAAAACACACTAAAAGTAATGTTAGAAATATGGAGTACGAAGCTTATAATTCTATAGACAAAGACAATAAACCGAAGCGTGAGGTTGAACGAACCAAAAACCTACCTCGTAATGCATACCCTTGTCAGCTTTATCATGCCTTTATCCAACCGGAGCTATAGCACAGATGCACAGAAAAACACAGCATAGAACGAATGTATATTCGTTATATTCTTTTCTTTCGCCTCTCTCCCTCTATCTCTTTTTTTTTCAAATAACGATCTAAATATATAGTAGATTGATTTGTAAATGAAAGAATTCCACGGCCTTACGTGAAATTTCGAGTCTCTCTATCTCTCTTTCTCTGTCTCTGTCGATCTCTCTCTCTCTCTCTCTCCTTGTTAAAAACACAAAACAACATACAACCTTTTAGCGAAACGGCCGTTGTCGCCGACGAGGAGCGTCTGATGAGGTCGCCACCGTCGTTCTCGTCGTTTGGTCCCCTCGCCTCTCGTCTAGCGACGGTGCTGCCATATAGCGGATGACTTCGTAAACATCTTGGGAACTGGATTGAATTTCGTGCAGAAAAAGATGGATTCTTCGTCTATGATGTAATATTACACTACGACTTATATTACTTTTTTAGAAGAATTTCTTGATTTTAAAAGATTTGATGGTTTTTTTTAGGAGGGGGGAAAATACAAGATCAATTTCTTTAATATATATGTATATATATATATTGATTTTCTTCATCGGTTCTAAAAATAAAATAATAATAATAATAATAATAATATTCTTATTATTAAACAAATAAAATGACACTCGATGATGTAAGAGTCATTTGGACTAATTTTAAAATAATAAAATTTTAATTATTATCGTGTAAAATATATTATAACGCTTTTAAAAATTAATAAAATAAAATAAAACGTTTAAAAAAATTAATAAAAATACAATTAAATAACTTTAAAAGTTTTAATTGCACTATAATATATATATGTGTGTGTGTACATTTATATATATATACATAAATATGTGCATAAAGGAAAAAATTAATATTTTATAAAAGTAATTTTATATATTTATAATTCTTGAAAAAAATAATTGTAATAATTTATCGTGAAAGGTTCCTTCAATTAAAGAAGGATCGATTGATCACGTGACTGATTCCATATAAATTTTTTTTAAATCGAAGAATGAAGACGGTAAACGACTCTAGCGACATCTGTCGGACTGTATTGTTTAGCTATCACCATGGTAACGCGTAACATCGATAATTCGGCAAAGTAGATGCAATCGGACGGAATATAGTTTAGTTGGTGATTCTCTTGCTTTAATGATACATATTGGCAACAATAACGTTACAAAATGCGTAACATTGTGGCAAACCAGAAATTTACCATAAAATTCATCCTTATTTAAAAGTTTAATTTTCTCGCAATTTTTAGTGTTTTTACATATGTTGTATAATATATTGAGTTTCGTTTAATAAGAAGGACGACGAAATCTTTATGTTCAAGATTTTGCTTTCGGTAATGTGGATTTTTGCCAAATTATCGCTTTGTGAACAACTAGGGCATTTCCTCGCCATACCATTTCGAATCTTAAACAAAAATTAAGTGTTTTATATATATATATAACTTTTAAATATATATATATATATTAATACTTAAAAATGATATATCACTTCTATTTTTAAGTTTAAAAATTAAATATTATTTATATATCTGTAGGCTACTTGAAGTTAATTTAAGACGAAATAAACAAGCCTAGACATTATAAATTGAAATATTTTCCTTCATTTTTTATTATTTCTAATAATTTTTTCTTCATTTCCTTTGAGTACACGTTGATAATTTTTCTAATAACCGCAAAGACCTATATTTCATAAAAATGATTTGTCACGTGAATAATTTATAACACGAGAATTAAACTCATTTAGGTCACCGAACGTATGATAAGTTTGACGAAAATTAGTTTAAATTTAAATTAACCAATAAAACGCATCGTTAATAAATATCAATTAACTCATATGGTTAAATTTAAATTTAAATAAAATTTAATGGCCAATAGAGACGTCAGAAGTGAGTTACGTTGATATGGTTCTGGCCAATGATTCGATCGTAAGGATTCAAACCATCCAATGAAGTTACGGAAACAAAACTATCGACCAATAAGAAGAGGAGATTGCAAATTTATATTTCAATGAAGTGCGATTGATAAGGTATACGGTTGATTTATCCGGATGACAGTCTGGCAAATGACGGAATCAACTTTATTCGCTCGTTCTCTATAAAATTACAGTGAGGAATAGTTAAATAAGAATTTTTACAAACTATACTCTTAAGGTTTAACTGATCCATTGTTACATGGAAGCAGACAATTCCGCTTCACTGCTTAACAGGTCCTGGACGGAATAAGTCCGTTAACGCTTCTCTTGGTTCTTTGATTACAGTCGCCACTGCTCTTCTAAAAGTACAATTAAAATTCCTTAAGGGCTATTTCAATTCACTTTCATAATTAAACAAGTTTCGTCGATTCCTTTTATACTTTTAACAGCCGGGTTCGAATAAGAGTAGAGAAAAATAATGCCAAACAATTCATTATCCTTATCTTTCGGCTCGCCTAGTATATATACCTTTTGTCTTTTTCGAAACTTTTCTCCTTATTATTACGTAATTAGTGTATAAAATTGCGGAAACTAAAGATAAACTTTATAATAGTTAAAATGTCGTTGTCATTTTTGAATTTGAAGACTTCCTTTATGTCGTGTAATAATAAATGTAATATGATATTTTTTTGTCTTTTATTAATTTCTTTTCCCCTATTCTTTTTTAAATTTAATTTATTTTTCACTTTCATTTTTGCAATCAGCTCCTTCTTACTCTTCATTTCTATCTTTTACTTTTTATTTACATCTTTTTTTCTACTCCTTTAATTGTGCTCATTTTGCATCCCTTCTTGCTATTTTGCCCTTTTTTCCCATTTTATTTTTCTGTTCTTTTCTTCTGTTTTTGCCCTTTTTTTTTACTTTTTTCCCATTTTTGTCTCTTATATTCATCATTTTCTTTTTCTTTCTCATTAGATTTGAATTCCTCTTCTTCATTCCTACTTTTTCACTTCTTTGATTTTGAATTTTTTCGTTCATTCTTTATTTTTATTTTTTCTTCCTCTTTAATTTTGTCTTTTTTTTTTTCAATGCGACCTTCATTTTGCATTCTTCGCTTCTTTGTTTCTACCTTTCCTCTTTACTTTTACCTCTCAATTCCATTTTTTTTTTTCCTTTGTCTTTTTTTTACTTTCTCCCCTCTTTCTTTTATTTTTCTCTTTACTCTTCCCTTCTATATTTTTACTTTCTCCCCTCTATTTTTTTCTTTACTCTATTTTTACCCTTTCCATTTCCTCTTTATTTTTGCCTTTTCCTTTCTGATTCCTTCCTTTAGAAAAGACTCGTTTATTCTGACGAAAATTGATGTTTTTCAAGAGTTTACCCGAGAGGAGTGGGCAGATCACGTGACTCGAATCTATCGCACTATCCATATACATATATAAGCTTATGTATTATTAACGTTTCTAGCTAGAGTAAATATAGAACAGGGAATAATTCGAAAATCGATATAAAAATTGATCTGGTGTATTAAAAAAACTATTCCTACGAATTATAAAATGAATTAAATTTATCAAACTTTTATGACTTATTTTTATTTTATTTTTTCCAAAAGAAAATATTAAAATTGAATTTTGGAAAATCAGAATTAAATGTTTTCTTGTTTAATTATTTGTCGTTGTATTTGTTTAGACAACAAGAAAAAGTTAGAAAAAATAATTTAAGGAATTTTAAACGAAATCGTGAGAAAGAGAATAGAAGAATGGACGATAAATAACATATATTAAATAAAAAAGAAGGTTCGTGTTATAATTCTTAAGTAAAAATTGAAAAATAAACAAATAAAATACGACACGAATAATTGATCTATATACTATTTTTAGGGGTTTTATTTTCTGTTTTGGTAAATGAAACTTTAGTTCGCATCGATACTGCGTGCCAATCATTATTTTTTATTTTCTGTTGTCACAACATGATTTCGTGTTTACGGTCATTCATATTTAAAAAAAAATTATTTTTCTTAAACTAAACTTTTATAATTTAATATAAAATTGTAAATTTAAGAATTGATGGATAGGATAAATAATGAGTTTACAGTATGTACAGAACAGTACGGTACATACAGATAAACTCATTGTTTTTCATATAGATGTATATAGAATATAAATGAATGGGTCAGTGAGCTAACCCCCTATTATAATGTTTGATCAAAATGATTACTCTATAAGGAAACTGTTTAAAATTATATGAATAAATTGGAAAATGATAGTCTAGTTTTGCTACTGTATGATTCTTAAGAAAATTATATATAATCTTTTCTCTAGCAGATCTATTATTAAAAACGTGAATTAAACTACTCTTTTATTTATCCTTATGGTTTTTCTGTAGGAGGAATGAATACATGTATGGATGCATATATGTATTCATTCTTCTTATAGATCCGTATATACATCCAATCGTCTTTAATTAACACATTCGTACATTCACACACATGTACTGTACAGTACTTGTACTATATCCATCATTGTAAACACATATACACGCTTTGCTTTTGAAGCTTTTTTTCGGAGTAATTTACTCTAATATCATTAATGTATATTATAANTCGACCCCCAGGGGTCAATGCAACATCATTGGGGGTCAATTAGGGGGTCAAAGCAATGGGTTACAACCTTTTTTTTTTGCTTATACAGATATCAGAAATCACAACGTTCTTTTATTTTGCTCATACACTTACACTTATAATAAAACTTTACGATGGGGGTCAATGTGAGGTTTTGGAAAGTGGTTGGGGGTCGACAGTTAAAAAAGTTTGGCGACCCCTGGTTTAGATAATCATATGCATGGAAAACAATTTACAATCATGTAGCTATAAAAAAAAAGTAACTCAATTTTTAATACTAAAAATGGTATTTTCAAACTTCTCTCCATTGGGAAAGTGTAAGTGAATGTGAAAATAAATGGTTTGATAAATAAAATTATTTTAAACAAAAAATTATAAGCTTTTTTATTCACATTTCAAAACAACATTCATTTGGTTACCAGGATGTATTTGTTGCAATATTTGAAAAGGACCAAATCTAATGATAATTTCTATAACCTTGACCAAAATTACTCGTCTGTATCAATTGCAACCAGAGGAAATTACAATTACAAATTTATCAAACAGTCGTGGTTGATAGGAAATTAAAGTTGAATTTTTAGATTTAAAGCAAAAATTTATGAAACAACTTAATTTGGCATTAATTTCAATGCTGGTGTAAACAGTTATAACAAAGAGCAACACACAGTATGTATTATTTTTCACTCTTATAAAAATTTAAGAAAAAAATATTTAGAATAAATGATGATATGCATAGATATGTTCCTATTTAAGTAACATATTTATATAACCTATATAAGAATGCACTCTCCTATACATTCTATGCACTCCTCTCTGTACATTATATAATGCACGCACGCGTAAA